TTTACCTTTGCCACCATCCTTTACTAATCTCCTCGGTTATATATTATAGTACTACACACTACACACACAGAAAAACGATAAAGTATTTGGAAATGAGATTCCTTATTCTATATATTTTTTATTTTATTGGTAAGAAATGAGATTTTTTTTTTTTTTTTTTACATGGATGATCTTTATTTTTTTTTAATTAATTATTCTTTGCATCCACCACCATGTTTATAACTCTTATGACTCTATCAATAAATACGATAATGGAGGCAAATACGATATTAGGTTCATTTATCTCATTAGAAATATAAACTTAACTAAAAAATGAAATGATAAAAAATGTAGATACCCGGCATTATTACTATCTCAGTCCGATTATAGAAAATGGACCAAAAGTGATAATAAGATGTCAATTTAATGATATTATTTGATTTGACGTGGTCTCAAATTAATGGATAAAAAAAGAATTTGGCCTAACATGCTGGACTGAAAAAGCAATTTTGCCCAATTTATTAGTGTAATAACTTTTTAATTACATCTACCAAAACGGGTGATTTTTAAATTTTTTAGCCTTACCGATTGAAGTGACGAGTGACGATAGTAATTAATTATTATGCATATTGACTGATTGCTATGGGGACGTGGGTCCGTTCTAAGACCCGAATATAATATATTTTCACTTTACTATATGGTGCCAAAAATATCGGACCACATACACATTATTGTTTGTTGGATAAGGATAACTTAGAAGGTTTATTATTATTATTTATAGTATATGTATGTATGTATTTGAGATTATTTTTATTAAAATAAAAGGTTTATTTTTAATTACAGGCTGGCCAAGGTTTGGTTGGTCAACTACACCTATATAATTTAATGCACCCTACATTATTGATATATATGTTCTACACTGCAATCTATCATCTATCATATCATATCAGAAAGAAAAGAGAGAGTGCCTGCCTAGAGGTTAAATCCAGCAAGCCTAAACACTAAATGTTCGGAAATATGAAATCCCCAAACCCTAAATGTGAGATATAATCGGCGCAGGTAGTTCTTCTTTCCATTCAACTCCAAAATATGTCTCTTCCAGAAAACGGCCTAATAATTGAAGATACAGATACACCTGAAGCTACGACACCGCCTGGACTCGAAAGATCTGAGAGCTCGGTAGCTAGATAAGGCCTTATGCGACTCGAAGGAGATGAGATCGTCGAACGACTACAAGCTCCCTTATGCGACTCGAAGGAGATGAGATCGTCGAACGACTACAAGAGCATGTAGTTGTTCGACGATCTCATCTCCTTTGAGTCGCATAAGGCCTTATCTAGCTACCAATAGCTATTGTTTTGTGAAGTCCTACTTTTTTGTTTAATTGAGAATTGTTATTGACCTATTGTTTTGTGAATTGTTAAGTTCTTCCTTTTTAGTGCTTGTTGTCATGTTAAAGATAGCTATTGGTTAATTTACATTATCATGTTAAAGAAATTCAACAATTGGGTTGACTAAGCAAGATATTTATTTGTTTATGTTATCATGTTAAAGAAGTTCAACAAGGTTATACATATTATTTAATAACTATATATACAAATATCTATAAGTGACATTTTAGATGCATCTCCAACAGTGAGGTTAACATGTCTGTGAATTGTTTTAAAAGACCAAGGGATGGAATAAGAAAAGAAAATAGTGAAAATTACTCATCACGACACTTTTATATTTAAAAAATGATACAAGAAAATAGTGAAAATTACTCATCTCCAACAGTGAGGTTAACATGTCTGTGTTGTTTCTTTATCGTGTTGATGTCGAAAAGTGGACGATCAACCGTCGAATATAAATTGAATTTCTTATATCAAAAGTGAAGAAAAGAGATGAAAAAATGGGTGTTTTTTTTTTTTTAGAGTGCTTCTCTCTCTCTTTTTTGTTCCGTCGAATATGAATTGAATTTTTTATATCAAAAGTGAAATAAAGAAATGAAAAAATGGGTGTTCTATTTTTTTATTTTTGGAGAGTGTTCTTCACTCTCTTTTGTTGTTGGAGGAAGGAGAAGAAATGAAGAGAATCTCCCTCTCCTCTCTCTTCTCATATATATATATATACTAGATTGGACTCGGCTGTGCACGCACAGCCGACCCTAGTCCAGTCTATAATTATATCTAGTATTTGTAAAAATTTTAAAACACATTTACCCACATTTTCAATTAAATTTTCCACACATATTTTTTACAACAAAATATTTATATTTATTAAATTAGTATTTTTATCGCATCAACTTTAATTATTATATTTTATTTTTTGTTTGTTCAAAATGTTTTTTTTTTTTCGGAACGATAGAAATATTATAAATAAGGGCACAAATGTGCAAATACAAACAACTGACGAACACAGCCACCAGCCGAATAAAAATGAGAGGACAAGACGAAGTCCGCCTAAAGATGACCCTAACAGGGTAATAATCACCCAACACACGACTCAATACTAAACACTAACACGGCCCCAACAGGGTAATGCTTGAGTGTGTGGTCCCAAAAGGATAATAAATTCACACTCGAGCTGTTCAAAATGTTTTTCACAAATATTTTTTTTTTTTTTTTGCAACTATTTTTTTACCATTCTTTTGACAAACGCAGCCACGCGATCCTTGGGTGGTTCGTTCGGCGGCTGGTGGTACATCACCGAACATTTCATCAAAAATACCTGAGTAGATCACATATTCAATAAAAAATCTCAGATAAAACAAATATAGTGTAAGAGAATAAACCATGGAATGACAAGTGATATAAAAAAGTAAATCATTTCTAGCACTCATGGACTCTTAATGATTGGATGAAGACAATTAAGATCAAACAGGATGCTCAATAACAGTTGCATTGAATATCTGTCTCAATCTCAGAAGCTGAAGAATTTTCTTGGTTCTTGGGTGCATAGCATTAATACTGAAATCATATAAACATACACGTAAATAATTTTTTTTTTTCTCTCTTACATTGATCTAGATATGGCGTAAATTGAGCATCAAGGTATAACCTTACCCACACATCCTAATTACGAATAGAAGCTTGGCTTCTGGGTTCACGTAAAAGCCACCTTTCAATCTAGCTTCGCGCTTCAATTAGATCAACTCCTTCTCCTAGACAACAAAATTACATATTGAGGATGTTGTAGTAGCAGTAACATTTATTTATCTTATCATATGGTAAATGAAGTATCATTAAGCCATATTAGATTATATCGGTAAATAAGTCGCTTAATCCTTATAAACAATAATACTATGAAAGAAACTATTAGCCGATAAATAACTATGAATTGCTATATACCTTGTGCCCATATCACATATTTAAACCCCAAAAGAAAAAACCCATGAAAATACAGTTTTCTACTATGAACTGCTATAAATTTTCGCGAATCAAATCAGCAGCCACCTTTTTCCTTTTAGAAGCATACTTGGGACCTTTCGTTATTGAACAACCTTTCCAAATCCTTGTATTTAAAACAAAACAAGTTAAATCATAAATTTGAGACCTCAACATGGAATCTTCAAATATATAGTAAATATTTATAATGATATGAAGTATGAAAGAAACATAAGATAGTGATAGTTACTGGGAACTATTGAGCTCTCTTCACCTAATCCTGAAGTTCTGTTGCACCAAGCAGCTCGTCAGCTCCACAGGAACCACAGGTTAAGGTAAATCAAGGAAAAACCAAAAAGAGGTTATTGATAGTCAAAAAATCTAAAAGAGTTGCTGTTTTGATCTCCTTTCTGCAAAAGCATGCACCATTTTACCAAATTATTATCTTTCTTTGAGGCAAAGCTTTTTATTCACTTAATTATTACACAAAAAAAAATCTAACAAAGCATCATAAATAAGGAAATATTTGACAGGGAGATACAACAAGGGGATCAAAACAGCAACCCTTGAATGTCTTTGACACCACTCTAATATTGTTTTCCAACACAGTTTGCCCCTTGAAAATACAGTTTTCTACTACATTTTATTAGTATTATTCTCCAAATATTTTAAGTTTTGGCCATTTTAGTATTTCCCAAATATTTAACAATAATCCAATCTTCATCATCTAATCAACCAAACACCCCTTACACATACACAATCCCAGTGGCTTTTGTTCTAAACGTACCACTCATCATCCTAAAAAACATCCCATTATTCTCATAAAGAAAAGAAATCATATTGCCAAAAAAAAAAAGAATGATACGATCTGAAAACGTCGGGAAGAATTGGGAAAATACCAACTCATTCCAGACTCTAACGATTATATAAAACGAACAAGAAACTGGTAAAACCACCTTGTCATAAGAATACAGGGGAAAAGAGAAGCTAATCAACAGAAAATAAACCTGTTCAATCGAAAGAAGTTTAAGAACTTTCTTGTTGGCTTCTCTCTTACTACATTAAAGATAGTTCAAGCTCAGTGACAGATCACATATCTGCATAACATCATCCAAATGCGTCAAATATATTCCAATTGAGCAGAGGAGTCCATATATTTCAGTCAGATTTCTAAACATTGAATCAAATTAAAAGCTTCCCGAAAGATGATTAACAATCAAATTTGAATCAAGAGATACAAATTCCACTAACTAATTTGGCCCGACTCCATCACAGAGATCAAAGTCACCAGGTCAAATGATCTTTCCTACAAATAATTTCAACCAATCCAAAAAGACCAATTAACAGGAAAAAAAATGATAAAAGCAAACATGATATATAAGAGATTTTATACAGGCACCATACATAACAAAACGACAATGCCCTAACATTGATCGAATTTCTTGGGGAAAAAAATAGTTTGCTTATGAAACCAGCCATGCCATTAAGTGCCAACATATCCAAGAATAAAAACAATTATAGGTTAGAAATCCAAATTATTGCACACATAGCTGAGCGGTATTAGATCTGAGTACTCAAAAAAGAAAAAACAAAAGATCCCAACAATTATCATGCATTGGAAAATATGAATGTATTGAGAAAGAGAACGATACCCACAATTCAAAGCCTCCTCCACGGAGGATGATGGGCTCGAATACCCTGTAGTGGAGGATCTCGGGCTGGATCGGCTCAATTTGGACGCCTTTGATTTGGTCAAGCCGCATACGCACCTGTAGTGGGTGACCCTGACAGACGTTTTCTGACGACTGAAGCAGTGGATGGATTCGGATGGCACAGCTATGCTGTTTTTCTCCCTGGGGCAAACTTGATTGTCCTGCTCTAAATAATAAACAAAAAAAAAAACATAAAAAATACCTTTTTGGGTTGTTATCGAACATAGTCCTCGGCATCTGTAAGTTCCTCCTCGGGCCTTCATCATCCTCACCCTCTCTGACCCACAACAGCAGCATCGCCAGAAGTACAAGACCATCGTCAGGACCAAGGCGACGATCAGGCACGACAAGGCGATGCAGATCCACTGGCTCTAGAAAAAACATGCTAATGTGGTACCAAAAAAGAATATTTAAAACAAAAAAGGCATTCTCAAATATTTATTAACATGATGAAAAGGAACAAACATATGTGTATTCAGGATGGAGAAAGTTGATCTTCATGTTCTGCGTAGTTTTTGCCTTCCGGCTGGTGAAAGTTCAAAGAGTCATACTTACATTCCATTTAGCACCTTGATGTTGTCGTATAAAAACCAATGCAGACTAAAAACAGTAACCACAATTGCAATCTGAACAGGGACTTCTAGTAAACAATTTGGCAACCCCATTTTTCTTCACAACCTGGACAATAGACCAATGGGAAAATGAGACTCTTCACAAATGTTCAATAAAAGTGTAAAAGCATGACCTCGTTATCAACACAGTACATGCAGTATTGTTTCAATCTTTTTATTGTAAAGAATGTATCTCAAAGTGCGTCACGTACATCCTCTTGAATTTGTCCAGGAACTCGAGGTAAAATTGCATAAACCTAGGTGTTATGACAATGCAAAACATTAAAAAAGAGTTGCTTTTTACAGAAAATTGTTATGTTTTACATAGTTCGGACAGAATTCGGGGTGTCTTTTAGAGCTATATTCTTGTTGTTGCTTATCAGAGAAAGTTAGAATAAGAAAAATGTTTTTTGTGCAAGCGCCCAACCGGACCTTCTGAGGAAAGTGTTTCTTGTCCAAAAACAGGCTTCGTTGCCTGGAAATCTTTCTCGATGGTATTATTTGCATATAGCTGGGAATACAAGAGAAAATTTGAAGAGATTGTATTGGGGAAATATAATTTCAATTTGCAAAAGAAAAATGGAATGCCTGAACCCAGTTGAGGAGCTTGGAATGATTTCAGAGAATCGAAATTCAGGTCAAACTTAACAGGTTAGACACATCAGAGTGGTCCCTCCAAGTCAATCCCTCACCAATGGCACTCATATATTAAAGCAGAAAATGTGGCGTATATTAAAGCATAAAATGTTACGTATAATCCAGTATTAATACTATTGGAATGTGCTTAACCAGATATTATGAAGAAACTTTGATATGTCAAGATTTAGGAGAAAACTTGTCTGTAACATTCAAAAAGAGTGTGATGCTAATGTCTTACATGTCAGCCACCAATTGGATACCCTCTCTTTACCTGTCTATTATGATGCTGTCTGTAGATATATATCTGGCCTTCATAATATATCCAGTTAGATTTGGAGTCAAAAGTGTAATGTATGAAGAAGAATCAAGCCATTTGATAATGACTTACCGATATTACAACATGCTTTCTTAATTACCATCAACCCATTGAACAAATGGTTCTTGGATTTTGGCATCCTTTTCTTCTGCTTCCTTTGTTCGAAGCCCGCTTAAGTAAAAGAACATGGAAACTTTATCGTCATTCAGTTCGCGCACAATCCCTCGTTGCCCACTACATAAAGTCCTGAAAATATGTTGTGAACAAATGCTTTTCAAGAACATCCTCAAATTAAGCAAACAACATGAACAAAATTTGTATATCACTTAAACTATCACTTATATACACACACACACACAAACATACCTGTTATTCTCTTTAATGAAGTTGCTCTGTCCTACATATTTCACTGTCTCCTGGCAATAAAAAGGAAGAAAAAAAATGTTGTGAACAAAATAACAAATAAGTAAATAATTCTAATTTATTATCTTGCATATTACAATTGCATTCCTCAACTTTCGTATAACAATAAGAAATTGGGCCCTCAGTGAAATTAAGCCCACATTTAGCAGCAGAATTAGAAGAGATATGTGTCGCTTTTTTATCTTGTTTCAACTGACAGAATTTTTCTTCAGAAGTTTCCTCTTCTTTTTCCTCATAAGTTTCCTTTGAAGCACACTGTCAAATAGGAAAAGGAAAAAGGAAACAATTATTTCTTTTGAACACCCCAAAATTGCTTAATTTTGAACTTAACAAGTTCAATTATTTGAGTCGTTCAAAAAATGCTTAACAAGTTCAATTATTTCTTTTGAACACCCCAAAAAATGCTTTTGATAACTTAACAAGTTCAATTATTTCATTACTACACATTTTTTTCGTTTTAATTTGTTTTCATCTTTTTATTTTTACTATCAAAAATTGAAATTGGAGTCGTTCGATAGGCTTTTTTCCACAAATAGTGATTTTGAACACCCCAAAATTGCAACTTAAAGAAAAGTATTTGTCCCCCTTTTTGAATGGCATTACCTTTTCGCAAGTTTCGTCATCATCTTTTTGTATAATTTCTGCATCTGATTCTTCTTCATCAATGATCTGAAAATAACAACATTTCACCACAAGTTAGACCTGAAAATAACGACATTCAACAAGGGGAGAGTCGGTTGGTTAGGTCTACAATCGTATCGGTCGTTTTCAAACCCGCCTTCTTCCACCGCGCCACCTCTCAGGTTCTAACCGCCGCGCCGACCGGAACTGTGGTGTCTCCGTCGGCTTCGTCGTGTATTGTTTGTTTCTTGTATTGGAGAATAGAATGAGAGAGTAGGTTAATGTTGCGTGGAGAAGGAAAACATCAGATTTTCGGGGATAACTTGTCAACTCGTCCAAAGCAGAAAAAGTGTTGACGAAATGATGTCGAGGACGTGGGTTGGCAGAACAATGTCAGAACAAAACTAAAATTACCATAACATCTCAAAAAGCACAATAAAGTGAGGGTAATTTAGTGAAATGGCAGACCAAGAACAAATCGAAAAGAGGGGCAGCAAGTGAAAAATTAGAGCCAAATGCGGGGCATTTTTGTCCGAATAAGACACGTGTCAGGCCCAAAACAATCCCTTCTTGTTGGGTTATATGTATAGTAGAGATACACAAATTAAAAAAAGGTAAAAATAATATATTATCATTCAATGCGAAGTGGCAATCGGGGGGCTTACTTATGTATTTTGACGGCTTCAATTGACTTTTACTTTACCGACAATTGTGGTACCTGTGTTATCCGATTACTCGGGATTCCGCTCAGCTCGACAGAGGACAAAGACATGTGGGGTTGCAGTCGACTTCTCAGGCGATTAGTCTTAAGAACGTGTTTATATATTTATTTATCATGTATTTTTGTCTCATTGATTACTGGGCCATACTTTATTATTCCGTTTATCATTTGATTAATCGAAGCCAAATTTGTATCAACAATCGGGTATCTCAAAATTAATGGGAATCATGCCCAATTTTTTCTTCCCCCGATATCACTATTTCATTTCCCACTTTTTGAACCATATATGCCAAAAAAAATTAAAAGCATCGACAAAACCCTATATGCCCAAATCACTTTTTGCTCCGGATTGTCCACGGAGAAGAAAAATGTTGCATCACCGTGATCATGGTCAAGAGGATGTACAACAATCTCAATCGAGTTTGCGGAGCCAAAAGTAGAAATCCTCCTGCAAACAAAAATTGGTGCAGAAAATGATTCAATTTGGAAATAAAATCAAAAAAATCTGATACAATGGTCCATCTGAACAATAGTCGGAGAAAAACATCCAACCGCATACCTAACAATGACGACGATTTCCATTCCGATTCGAAGGAGATGCCCAATAAAAGGACTCAAGAATTAACAATCGAAAAGGCAGAGAATCTACCAAAAACAAAGTTAATTATAGAAAAGTTGGAAAAAGAAAGTTAGTGATGTTTGAGAGGAACTGAGATTAAAAGATTTGGAGTTCGATCCAATTGAAGACGATGATAGGGACAATGACAACTTTAAAAATGGAGCAGAAAACGGGTATTTTTTTTATGTGCACAATTATATTCATCATCAACATCATCAACATACCCAGTATATTCCCAACAGGTTGGGGTCTGAGGGGTCAGTTGTACGCAGACCTTACCCTTGTAATTATACAAGGAGGCTGTTTCCATAGCGACCCAAGGTGCACAATTATATTCACTTTATGTTTTTTTTTTTGCATAATGTCTTGGCACATAGTGAAGATACTTATCTCCAATTTTATTTTATTTTGTTGAAGGGATTACAGAGTATTCGTGTCGTCTTCTGCTGAACATTTTATAGTCAATACCAACGTTCCAATGGATTACGATGTCGATTTAGAGCAGCTGAGGTATGCATGTATTATGTACAAGCATGGCAAGATGAAACAAGAAAAACCATGCGAGAGCGAGGATGAATCACCCGGTTCGATGTCGGACGTGGATAGGCGTAATCTGACAGTTGATTAGGTTGACAGTTCAATCATTTTTTTTGCTGTTGAAATTGACTATGTTGGATGTTTAACTTCAGGCACTGAAATGGAGTATGTTGGATGTCTTTTTGGGTGATTCGAAATATACAGTGTTTGTTTTTTATATTCCCCCTGGTAAGGATGGATCTATTTTGTCATTGGTGGATGTTTATGTACAACTGTGGTTTAATTATCTAGTTTATTTTTCACGTTTATGCAATACAAGGTTCGTGCCACCTACGATGGACACACCTTAATGAGTTGAGTCTTAATAAATATGGCATATCACATACATAAACATGTTTCCAAATTTAGTGTGCTATCATGAATATGAACGAATCCAAAATTATCGTAATTTATAAACCTGACAAGCAACAAGAAAACGGATGCGCGTTAGCGCAACGGCTTTCGCGCTAGTTGCTCAATCCGTTGCTTGTTTGAAGAAAAAGAGGGGATTTGGAGAGCACAGTACGATGAAAGTTGTAAGCTGTGTTCGGGGGGGAGTTATTGTCTATCGTTGGCCTCTATGGTAGAATCAGTCGGGGGGAACCCTTTTGGGAGGTTGGAGCAAGAAAGACATTGCAACCTAACCCCGAAATGACCCAAGAAAAGCTCACAGTCTTATTAAAGAGTCTTTCTACTAATGTCTCCTGGAACGATAGAGGAAAGATGGACGAAGGGTAGCTATAGATTACATAAAAATAGGACAGATATTTTCAATAAGAGGAGGCGCTATGTTAATAGCCCAGTTGAAAGGAACAAACGAAGCAGCAAGAAAACAGATGCGCGTTAACGTAAAGGCTTTCGCGCTAGACTTAAAAATAGAAAGAAATTGAATTGATTGATTGATGCCTGCTTCTTCCTGCTGCTTGCTTCTTCCTGCTGCTTGCTCACTGCGCGGGGTCAGAAGGATGGTAGGAGGCATCCCCCGGGCCTTACCGAGGAACGTGATGAGACGGAGATCTCAATCAAGGGCTCTGAAAGCAACTCTTGAACCCCTGGAGAGGTAACTCAATAGGTAGAGGCTATAGAACCGTTAGGCTAGGCCAATTCGACTGAATTTGTCTCAACATGGTATGCATAAACAAACAATATACCAATACAAAATTTCATAATTTACAAACCTGACATAAACTAAATTAACAAACAATAAACTAATACAAAATTTCATATTTTACAAACATGACATAAACCAACAATGCACCAATACAAAATTTCGTGATTTATAAACCTAACATAAACTTCAAAGTGATATACATAAATTAATAAAATCCAATTTTCCAATCTATGATCATGGTGCAAAATAACCATAATAAAACAAATATTTTAAAAATGTTTCGTTTATGAATTATGATACTTAAAAATAAATGAAATATAAATATCTAGTGGAATGAATGAAAATAATAAAAAAAAATGTATTCTAATTTAGCTGCTTTGGTCTATTCTCAATTATATATGCGCAAATAAACTAAATGCAATATAAATGAGTTACATAGTAAGTGGCAATAAAATGCTCAAATTCGAAATCTTGGAAGATATTTAAATTTCAGACAGACCGTGGCTTGTTTCCAGAGAAGGCAAATCGTGGGAGCTCATCAGTATGAGTTGTTTACGGAAAAGACATCAGATTTTTTTCAAATTTGGTAAACCACATTTGTTACGGAAATCACCAAACTTTTAAGAGATTTAATTGTTTCTTGACTATATGAAAATACTAGTACGTACCCCGTGCGATGCACGGAACATAGATATTAAATGAGTTATTTTAACAGCCTTGTCCGTTTAAATCTTAAAAGTAATAGTGTTATTATCTATTTTCTACCTCTTTTGATCAACGTTAAGTCTAAAAAATAATAAGGTTATAAGTTTTTTTTTTTCATATCTTTTAACCAGCATTGTTTTTTAGCCAGAACTTAAATATGAGTATGTTAGGGCTAGCATGTAAAATAATTAATATATTAGCTCACTAAGATATTTATACTAATAAAACTTTAATTTCAATATATAAATTTATCCCTTGATATAAAAAAAAGTAACAGTTTTATTTATTCTTGTTCATCATATAATATTTAATTATTATTTTATTATATAATAAAAAAGAATAGTGTTAAATAGTTTTTTTTAACACAAAGATAATATTAAAAAAATATAAATATCCATACAAATATACGAACCAAGTTTTTTTAATAGTTTTTTATAAGTCTTATAAAAATATATTATAATTTGTTAGTGTATTATTCAAAATCGTAATATTGATTTGTAGTTTTTAGAAACAGAATTTTGATTGTTTTTACTCACCCCATTTTATGGGATTTTTTTATGTCAAGATAAGATAGATTAAAAACAATATGTAAAATAGGAAACTTGATTAAAATTATAAATGCATTAATT